CAGATCCGGGGTCGACCATATCCCTTGGGTCTGCATGTTTCCTATGTGGGCTCCCCAGCCTAGGTCCAAAGCATCGGACACCAGATCTACTGATGGGCTGGCCTCTCTGAAGAGAACCCCTTGTAGCATATTGTTCAGGAGAGTCCACCAGCGAAAGGAAGCCAGTACCAGGGACAGGATTGTGAGGACCTTGTCCAGGTCGTTCCGGGCTTGTGAAAATTGAGAGGCTAGCCAGATTTGGAGGGGCCTCATCCGGAGTCTGGCATGGCGGACCACATACGTGCAGGCCGCCATGTGACCCAGGAGTCGGAGACACGCCCTGGCCGTGGTTACTGAGAACCGGGAGATGGAGGCGATGAGAACCTTTAGGGTCTTGAACCTGTCCAGGGGAAGAGAGGTCGTAGCCTTGGTGGAGTCTAGGAGAGCCCCAATGAACTCTATGCTCTGGACCGGTACAAGGGTAGATTTGGTCTCATTCACGACCAGGCCTAGGCTTTTGCAGGTGGCCAGGAGTACATGGAACTCCACCTCTGGACGAGAGTCGCCCTTGAGGAGCCAGTCGTCCAGGTAAGGAAAGATTTGTACCCCCTGTTTCCTGAGGTAGGCCACCACCACTGCCATGCACTTCGTGAACACCTTGGGGGCTGTGGACAGGCCAAAGGGGAGGACCGCAAACTGGTAGTGTCCCGACCCCACCATGAATCTGAGGAAGCGTCTGTGGCCCTCAAAAATGTGGACATGGAAGTATGCGTCCTGGACGTCCAGGGCAGCATACCAATCCCCAGGGTATAGAGAGGGGATGATGGAAGCCAAGGACACCATGCGGAACTTGGAACGGGTTAGAAACCTGTTCAGGTAGCGCAGGTCCAGGATGGGTCTGAGACCTCCTTTTGCTTTGGGAATGAGAAAGTAACTGGAGTAAAACCACATTCCACCGCCCCGAGGCTGAGTAGCCGATCCACCTCCTGGCCCAGGAGATGGGCGTGCTCGGGATCCCCCAAACCCCTGGAGGTGGACGGGTGGCGTGGAGGGGGAGAAGTGAACTGCAACTCGTATCTCTTGGAAATGGTACTGAGGACCCATAGGTCCGACGTTATGTGGGACCATGCCCTGAGGAAGGCTGACAATTGGTTGCAGAACACAAACTTTATTGGTCGGGGGGGTCTCCCTGGCAACAGGCCTGGTGCCCCCCTGTTGATAGTCAAAACCGCCGCTTTCCCTGCCTCTTGCCCTTAGGGGGACCAGGCTGCTGGGTAGAGCGGGATTGCCTCTGAGACCAGCGTTTCTGGTCTCTGGGATTCTTATACGGGGGCTAGTATCTGCTCCTAGCAGGCTGAGCCGCTGGAATCAGTTTGGCCTTGTCCTTCGCAGGGGGGACATAGAGGCCCAAGGTCTGCAGGGTGGTGCAGGAGTCTTTTATCCCATGCAGCAAAGAGTGCCTTGCCATCGAACGGGAGGTCCTGCATCAGAGACTGGGCCTCTGTCGACAGACCCGACAACAGGAGCCATGACACTTGGCGCATGGAGATTGCGGAAACCATGGAGCGAGCCGCTGTATCTGCCGCATCTGACGCCACCTGCAGGGCCACCTTAGCCGCTGCCGACACCTCTTCTACCAGCGCCTGGAAGTCCTGCCTATCCTTGTCTGGGAGAAGAGGCTTGAACTTAGGCAAGGACTCCCACAAGTTAAAGTCATATCTACTGAGTAAGGCCTGGTGGTTGGCTACCCTCAGCTGGAAACTGGCCAAAGAATAAATCATTCTGCCAAAGGAGTTGAGTCTCCTGGCGTCTTTATTTTTAGGGGTGGGCGCGGGTTGGCCTTGGCGCTCCCTGTGGTTCACCGACTCAATCACAAGTGAGTTAGGTGCCGGGTGGGAGTAAAGGTATTCATGACCTTTTGCCAGCACAAAGTATTTTCTCTCGGCCTTCTTGGAAATCAGTTCCAAGGAGGCGGGAGTTTGCCACATGGCACTGGTGATGTTGGCAACACCTTGGTGTAATGGTAATGCCACATGGCCCGGTGCCGAGGGGGATAGGACGTTGAAGAGGGAGTCCGACGTCCCTCCATCTCCTCGGCTTGTAGCTGAAGGCTGGAAGCCACCCACTTCAGCAACTCCTGGTGTGCCTTGAAGTCCTCCTGCGGGACCAAAGGTGGCAATGCCACAATCGTGTCGTCTGGTGCTGGAGACGCGGCACGCACGGAGTCGGGCACCATGATTGGTGCCGGGGCATTGAGACCCAAGTCGGAATCCGGATGCAGGTCTGCCGAGTCTTGGCCCGTCAACTTGTCCCGTGGGCGCCCCGACGAGGCCGATGGGGCTTGGGACACTCCAGCGACCGAATGGGCCCCGGGCTGGTTCGTTACCTGCTGTCACGGCACCCACTGGCACCATTGTCCCTGCCACAGGATTCCGTAGCCTTGGGCTTGCTGGGTACCGGGAGGTACAGCGAGTCCCTGCGGGGACGCATGGCCCAAGGACAGGAAGGGGACCGAGGCCGAGGTGGCTGAAGATCGCTCGGTGCCACAGGAGTGATGGTAGCGGTGCCTGTGTCGGCGTCTCCCTTGTGATCTGGACCTCGAAGACGAGGAATGTTACCCTCTCGACGAGCTGCTTTGGTAGCGGTAACGACTGTGTGAAGCATGGTGCCTTGATGACGAGGTACCACGTGGAGAGCCTCTGCCGCGGTGCCTGGTCGAGCGGGAGTTGGAGCGCGAATGACGATGCCTATCGCGTCGAGATCTGCTCCGGTACTTGTGTCAGGCCAGGGAGCGTTCCCGGCGCCTCTCCTGGTGCCTGTGCTCACTGGCTGGCAGGGTAGGAGGGGCCCGCGGTTCCTGTCTCGGCAGCGGGACAGAGGGTCTGGAAGGTATTGACGGTGGCCGGGAGTCGCTTGACGAGCGGCCGCTGTGCGTCGAGCGGTGCAGAGAGCGACCTTCGGAGCAAAAGCCACTACTCACCGAAGAAGCCGGACGGTCCCCTAACAGGGGCTTACCCCGAGACCTGGGGGTCGTGCTCGGCTGCGAGCTCGGCACGAGCAAAGACATAATGTCCTTTGCTGCCTGCACTGCCTCCGGCGTCAATGGCATCCATACCGGGGATGTCTGGGTCGACTGCACCAGGCTGCTCTGCTCCACTCGAGTCGGAGGTCTTAAGCCTTGGGGGGACCGAGGGCTGCCCAGCGCGGGACCAGCCTCCCCCTTATCCTTGTCGCAGCATCGTTGCGAGGCCGCGCTCTTCCCCTGTTTTTTGGCGGGAGAGCGGTGCCTGCTGGTCGAAGGGGCCTCGCTGCATACAGACGATGCGGTGGCCGGTGCCAAGTCCGATCTGCGCACCGGGGTCGGAACCAACGCCGACTCCATTAGGAGAGCTCTAAGTCTGAAGTCCCTCTCCTTTTTAATCCTTGGTTTGAACGACCTACAGATTTTGCAGCGGTCGCTAATATGAGTCTCACCCAGACAGCAAAGACACTTAACGTGGAGGTCGCTCCAGGAGTCGCACGACTTGAAGCCTGGAGCACAGGGCCTGCCCCGGGTCCAAGCTAATGTTGAGAAAACGATCTGACGAACAGTACCGCTAGAGAAGAGAAGGCTGCAGTGAAGCTGGAGCACAAGTTCCGACTACCTTCACTGGCGGCAAGAAGGAACTGAGGGTGGGGGGAGAGCACATGTCCCCTTATAGTGCGCTATAGCGGAGCCACTCTAGGGGTCGCAGTGGTGCTCCCCCACTACGGGTACTGCTAAGGGAAAAACTTCCGGCACTGGTGCACGTGGTGAGCACGCACACCCACTGTGGAATACACAGGAGCAATCACTCGAAGAAGAACCATCTTTTTGTTCTGTTTGTACAGCGCCTAGCACAATGGGCCATGAGTGGGGTTCCTTTTATCTGAAGTGCCAAAGAAAAGGAGGTGCCTTTCATGGTTCTGGTTGTGGTCCAGCTCAGTGTGAAGAATATGGCTGCTGCTAAAGGGCCTCCTGTGGTAAAAGTAGCATTTTGTGAAATGTTTATACAGCTGTATCAGACCATATAATTTGCACTAGCAATTATTTCTACTTTACAAAGTCCTATTGAAATTAATAGAACACTTGGATTTTTGATTTGGATAATGAGTTTGTACAGTAGAAGTATTATAAGACAATATTTTTTGAAGAGACATAATACCAACTGAGCATATGGTAGCTGCTGCCACATCATGGGATAACAATATCAATCCGTGAACTGTTGTATAGCTAGCCTAAAAAAAAAAGAAACTAAGGACACAAATATAGAATCTATTCTGTGAGGTATATTTTTAAAGGAGAGTATCAGAGGGGTAGCCATGTTAGTCTGGATCTGTAAAAAGTGACAAAGAGTCCTGTGACACCTTATAGACTAACAGACATATTGGAGCATGCATCTGATGAAGTGGGCATTCACCCACGAAAGCTTATGCTCCAATATGTCTGTTAGTCTATAAGGTGCCACAGGACTCTTTGTTGCTTTTTAAAGGAGAGAATATTCAAATCCAACATTTGCAAGCAAAACTCACATGAGCTCATGGTTACCTGTTTTCCACATGCAAGGGCACTTACATGTTGTAGGGGCAACTTAGGAGCTTTAGAAAATGTGTCTGTAAACGTTTGGTTTCTACTCAGATCACAGAAACAGGGAAATCCATCAGCCATCCATGGTTAATTCCACCTTTGTTATGTACTTCTTGGGATCCAGTATATAAGATAATTCTGTGTTCTGGGATCCCCGAACACAGGACAATATAAACTGTAAAACCTACCACAACAAGATGAATTTAAGAATGGAATGGCTACCTTATTGTAGTGTATTCAAAAGTTTCCATGGGTCTTTCTTTAGATTGTAGTGTACATTTTTTATATTTATTCTATCTTAATAATATAGGACACCAGTCGCTGATTAAAAAGAAACATACTGTTTAATTTTAAAAATACTCATTTTGACTAAGACAATAAATCACTTGTCATTTATGAAAAATACTATCAGGTTTCTATTATATATTTGAATGTCTAAGTATTTTTGTATAAAATCATCCATTAGGTTCCCCAAAACTCTGTGATGATCCAGAAAACCTCTGTTAGGTTTGCCTTTCAAATATTCCTAGCAGATTGTCATATTTTTCTAATATTTAGAAGGATTTTTTTCTGAAGTAATCTTGCTCTTAGCAAATGCATTTGTAATATGAAGGCAGAAGCTAATGAGCAATTGTATATTGAAGTGCATAGTTTGTCCACATTTGGAAAAAGCAGATGTTTGGAGAAATAATAGCTGGTACTGATTGTGGATTCTTTCGGAATAAACAGTCATAAAATTGTAGCAAGCCATAAACATTTTGTTTACTATAAGAAAGGAAACATTTTATACAACCCAATTTTTTTGCAAATTAAATTGTAACAATGTCATCAGTAGGGTCATAACTCTATGGGGGATGGGGAAGTATAATTAAATAACCAAATAGGAAAATTATTCATAATGTACAGTTATTAACACTCTTTCAATAAATAAATGATATATTATGTTTTAATTTATTTCCATAACATTTGAAGCAAATCAAATTTCTACCCATTTAAATAATTGTATTGACAGAAACTGCTTATGGATTATTATGCTGCCCATTATCTTTAAGGAACTAAAAAAGTTAAGTAAAGGCTTACAAGATTAAGCTACTTTTTATTTGCATAGAAAAATATTTATCATAGGAGTCAACTATCATATGAGAGAAATTGCATTTGTTTTAATTGAAAAAAGATAGCTAAAAAGTTTCTGTGGGTTATTGCAACAGTACAAGAATACAAGATGCTTCCATTTATTAAAAAATGTAAAACAAATTGTGAAAGCTAAAGCAGGCTACAAAACAGAAGGTTCCTCTATTGTCTTTCCCTCACCTAATTATGTTACAAGTTCATGTGCCATGGTTGTTGAATACTATAAAGTGTAATTCTATACTTTCTAATATAACTTTTAAATCATCCTGTCCAAAAAAGCACTATGCAAAATATATATATTTGTATATGCTCACTCCCACTCGCATCACAACCTCGTTGTTACATAATCATCGTGACCAACTATCTCTTCGTTCATCTCCGAGTCACTGGTAACGTCCAACTTCTTGTCCAGCAAATCCTCTGGTGGGGGGGGGTCTGAATCCTGTACCTCTGTCTTCTCGGTTTCTACAGCACAATCATTCTCCTCATACTGTGTATCCAAAGTCTCACTGTTGGTTTGCTTATTGTTTGTTAGCATGCACTTGTCACTGAGACCTTGGACACTTAATTCACAGTTCATGACCATTTTTTCCCCTTCCAGTTCAGTAGTTTTCTCGCATTGTTCGTCCACCTGTTGTTGTGAAACTTCTTCAGACACAGAGTATATTTTATTTGCACTCACTTCCACGGAGCTTGTTTTTGATCGTCTATGAAATAATCCAAAGCTTTTTATGTCTGTTACAAAGTTCACCCTTTTTTGTTTCTCCTTTATGGGCTCAGACACCATCAGTGCAGCTCCATTGCTTATGTTATGTGGTTCAGAGGCTATAGCAGCTGATCTTGGATGAATCAGTGTAGTTATGTCAAAAAGGCTGAAGTTCTTTTTCTTTACTTTCTCCTTTCCTCCACTCGCACAGTTTTCATCAGTCTCTAACAAAGAAGAGGCTTCTTTGTTGATTTTTGAAGTTTGCAAATTAGAAAGTCTGTTTCCTTTCAACAAACCCAGGACTTCAAAACGAAAGCTGGAAATATCTTGCTTTAACTCCTAAAAAGTTAGGAAGATATAGAAAGCATTTAAAACTTGGGAATCTGTTTTGGTTTTGTTTGGTTTTCTCTTTGTAATAAAGAACAACACCTGAATGTTTTAGCAAATGTGTTCATTTGTAAATATATAGTATTATGGATGTTCATTTTTCTCTGACATCTTCTAAGTGCTTATCAAATGCTTCTGATCAGTCCTCACAATTCCCATGGAAGGCAGAGAAGCGAATATTAATACTTCCCAGAGGAAAGCCTGAGAGCTTATGTAAAGTGCCCAAGACCCCTTGTCCAAATCACTGACAGTGCTAGGATGAGACCTCTGGCTGTCTTACCTCCCATATCTGTTTGGCTCACTAGACTGTGCTACTCCTATAGAGGCAGAGCATTTTCACTGCTATTCCTTAACCCACTGAATGTTATTACCCTTTACAAGGTGCACTAGCTTCCAGGTGGATGGCCCCAGGAACTGTGTGTTTTAAGGATTTGGGAGTTCAGGAAGTGGTGCTAGTGGGTGAACTGGGGAGAGTCTGTAAGAGTGGAAAGGCACAGTAGTGAACCTACGAGGTGTGGTGGGTGAGGTCATCCTCTCTCCCATTAGCTTCATCAAGATCTGCTGAATTTAATCTTTGATTTAAAAACAAGGAGGGAGTGGGGGGTCTGTGACCCGAAGAGCCCCTCAATGCCAACTGCCAAAATTTACAGACACCGGATAACTGGCTAGTTTAAAGAAGCTTCCAGCCTTTTTGGTTTAGAAAGTTTTAATAGCTGAATTTTGTGGTTTGACACCCAGTGATACTAAGAACATCATTTCTTCTGAAGTCCACAGTTTGAGGAACTAGTACCAGTATAACCTCATCACCCGTCCAAGATCAGGTCATCATCAAATGATCTTTCCTCACTTTAACGCTCAACTGCCAGCATCATATTAGCCCTGATACACATAATCTCCAACACACTGTTGTCATAACACGTATCTAAGAGATATCATGTAAGGTATCACATGTAAACTGGTGACACGGTTGTCCCAAAAATCCTTGTGTGATGTATGAATGGGATGTGTACAAACAGTTATGTATGTGTGCTGGAAATGTGTTCTTAAAATGTGTTTCAGAGGCAATGCACAAATCAGGCCTGCTCTAGACACAAGAGTGTGGATTCCTCTGTCTGACCAGCTTGATTACAGAGGACAGTGAAAGTACATTTACATATAAGGTAAACCAAGCAATCAAACTAACAAGCAATGGAAGAAAGTGCTTAGTGAACTCTCCAGAGTTTCGAGTCTACAACCCAAGTAAGTCTGCCTGGCTTTTGAGACAAAGACAATGGACTTTGGAAAAGATATGGGGAGAAAAAAGACATTCTGGTTATCCATCACTTAGGGGACATAAGGAACAGCACCCTCTGAGCCTATGAAAGTTTGATTCTCCTGGCCTGGAGGGCAGGAGTTGCTGATAACTTGCTGTAAGTGACAGACCGTTGCTAGAATTGAGTTTTACATTGGCTCTTCCATCCAGCCCTGCACTCCATGGCAGAAGAACTCATTTTCTGAGATGTGGAAGTATTTCCATCTTGCTCTAGCAGCCTGGTTATTCACACAAGCTCTACTCCACTTCGGGATTCCCCTACACAGAGAAGATCCCCAGCTAGCCAATTAAGCTGTTTCTTTCTTCCATTGGAAAAAGCCTGGTCCAAAATGTTTAAATGATTGGCCCAAGCTGACCTAGTAATCGGTGGGGATAGCCATGAATAGAACACAGGTCATTTGACACCAACCATTAGGCTATGCTGCCCATAATTCTTTATTAATTTAACAGCTATGAAAGTCTAAAAACAATGTACTGGAAAGAAAAAAAAGGAGCAAGATTTTGTGTGCAAAATGAATGCATGTGGTCAGGCAGGCCACACAGACTGTCCTCTAAGCTGTAAGTGAATGGCAGTTGCATGATTGTTTGTTTGATGCTCTGTAGTCATTTGACATTTTATTATTACATTGATAAGCATGAAAATAGTCACCTTAAAATTCTCTTCTGTGAGTCCTTCTTCAGTTTTGGCATCTCTTATCATTGCGGCAACGTATCGCTTAACAAGATTTCTCATCACTTCCTAAAAGATTTAAAAGAATGTGTTAGTTTCGCTGGCAATGATAACTGGACATACATTCACTGAATCAACTGCATTTTTGCTTCCTTTTCTAAGACACTACAAAAATTTTAACACTTCTAGAGTCAGTCAAAATGTTTCATCAATGTGTTTTCTCAATGAAAAATAATTGTTTCAATTAAGGAGATTTTTCTTGAAATATGCGTGTTTGGGGGGTAAATCCTATCCCATCCCTCTCTAATAATGACCCATGCTAAAAAAACAAAACAAAACATGGGCCTTCACCTGGTATTGATGATGTCTCCTCAAATTATCAGCTGCACGCCTCTGAAAAGAAACAGATTGAGATACTGAGTGGTATTAATGCTAGTGACTGATTTTAAAAAAAAACCATCAACAACTGGCTGAAAGTGGCAGGACAGCAATATGATGCACTAGGGCAAGTGATGTTGAGGGCTGGTTCAAGGTCTTTTGGGAAGTTTTGGTACTGGTGAAAGCCCCATCCTGGAGCTGGACAGGAGGGAGGGCTGCTGACGGGCAAAATGAGAAGTGCATCCTTGTGTCTTCTCCATACTGCAAAGGGGAGATCTGTGCGAGCTCTAAGTAGGACAGGGTGGAGTGGAGCACAGGATCTGTAATCAAACTGAGATGCCCTCGGCAAAAAGGGGCTGGGGAAGGATAATGGCTACTATTCTGACCTTCAAAGCTAGAATAGCACCTATACAGGGGCTGAGTAGTGCCCCATGACTACCCCACAGATTAGAGAGTGAATTCTTCCTCCTCACCCGTTAGCTTCCTGCACAAAGCCTGATTGCTCATGTTTGGTGCAGTGAAGAATGAATTTGGGTGAAAGAGAAAACCCAAGTAAACTTTTGCACTGTAGTGCAAAGGGCAGTCTCCTCAGATTAATGGTATATTTCATCTCCGGATGAAAGGGTCAACATTAGGTCACTGGCCAGACTCAAAATAAAGCCAAACCTGTCCACATCACCAGATGGACAATGCTCAAATGGTGGACAACAGAAAGAAGCTTCACAGCACTACCAATAACAAAGCAATGGGTATCTCATCTGATTGTACTCAGATACCTAAGGGGTCTCAGGAAGAAGGAAAAAAATAATTTGATTCTTACTCTGCTCATGAATTAATGATCTCCTCAATAACAATTCAGATGGGCTGATTGAAGTCTTTGCTTATTCTATACCTTTGATTGTCCCTAGCTTATATTAATAGATTCCAAATCCAGAAGAGAAAATTGTGACCATCTAGTCTGACCACCTGTATAACACAGGCCATAGACTTTCCCAAAATAATTCCTAGAGCAGATCTGTTAGAAAAAATATCCAATCTTGATTTAAAAATTGTCAGTGTAGAGAATCTACCATAACCTTTGGTAAATTGCTCCAATGGTTAATTACCATCACTGTTAAAAATGTATGCTGTATTTCCAGTTTGAATTTATCTAGCTTAAATTTCCTACCATTGGATTGTGTTATACTGTTCTGTACTGTATTAAAAAGCCCATCATGAAATATTTGTTCCCCATGTAGAGCAATAGACTGTAATCAAGTCACCACTTAATCTTCTCTTTCTTAAAATAAATAGATTGAGCTGTTTGAGCCTATCGTTATAGGGCATGTTTTCTAATTCTTTAATTATTCTTTTGAATCCCCTCTGAACCTTCTCCAGTTTACCAATATCCTTCTTGAGTTTTGGACAAGAGAACTGGACACACTATTCCAGCAGAGGTCGCACCAGTGGCAGATATAGAGTAAGTTAGTGGGAGCAAGATTGATATTTTTGATTTTTGCCTCCTACATTTATCATCCCAAATGCAATTGGATGTCTAACCTATGGCAAAATGTATCTAGGAGACCTGACAAAACTGAAGTTATAACAAATCAGGCATTCATATATTTTCTCCAGCTCTTGCAGTCAAGGCTGATTTGCAATTTACTTATGATTGGTAACATTCCTGTACTAGTGGATGGTTTGTAATTTGTGATTGATTTCTCTTTTGTAATTTACTGCAAAGTCATGATGAGACTACAGCAGGATGTAGGGGGCGGGGAAGGGAGGAGGGACATTGCATTTTCTGTTGTGGTAGCTTCTCTGAAAAGACACTGCGGAGAACGGTTCCCTAAGTGAGCAGTTGCCCTCTAGTTATTCCAGTGCTTTTTCCTGATTACATTTCTGTGTCTTTCATAATTTTGTGCATGCTAAATACAAGTTACTACGTCCCTTCTAACTCAATCACCTGAAGACTGAGTGGAAATGCATTGAGTACTGTGCCCACAGAGTACAATGTTTCTGCAAAACCCCTTTGCAAAGGAAGTGATGTAGCCCTCCCCCACACTGTATTAAAGCAGCTTTGCTCTTGCAATGTTTTAAGGTGGGCCACCAGGTGGAGATGTCTCCCTCTTGTTGGGAGAAGACTGAGGAAATCCTAACAGCATTAGGGTTCATGAAGACAAATCTGACCCACAGAAGATTTGGTAATGAGGAAAAAAATCATTTTAAGATAACACTGAAATGTGCTTAACTCGAGGTAAAGGTAGTGAACCCAATAAACAAAATAAATACTGACTCCTGCATTGCAGAAAATACCACGACAGCTCAGCCCTCTGGGTATTTACAGTGAAATACAAAATAAACACATCAGCTCAAGTTCAGCCTCCCTCAGTTTATGCTGCTATGGAGCAAGATAACACTGATTAGCAAGATCAGTTATTTAATGATCCTGCACCCACTGAAGTCAGTGGCAAAACTCCCAATGGAGCAGTGCAGTGACCATTCAGCTCACAGCCTGGTAATACAGGATTTTGGCTGACAGTACTAACCATATTTTTCAACGTGCAAATATCTCCAGAATATTTTTACCACAATTATAATATGTATTTAATGCACAACACTGATAAACTGGAGAGAAAAAATGTGTGCGTGTGTGCGCACCTGCATGTATACACTTAGAATATCAAACTAGTGTTCAATGCCTCAGTTCTGTCTCTCCAATTAAAATGCTCAGATCCTATCTTCAACTCCTAATTCCCTTTCTCTTCTTCCTCACGGCAGAATGGATCCTCACATTCTGCAAACTCACTGCCATGAGCTTTCTACCCACTGCTGATTCCCAGTTCAGGTTGGGAACTGTGAAAAATGTGTGCCAGAAACCTATGAGGGTTTCCAGCAGGGTGAGGGTGATGTAGAGTGGGACATGTTACAGACAAGAGACATGCCTTACCTCCCAACTCTAAGAAACCACTCTGACCTCCCACACTAGTGCCCCCATCCATTCCCCTAAAACTCCTTACAAACAGGCAGTTCCCAAGTGTTATCTACTTAAGAAACAGACAGTTTCCTAAAGGCTAAGGCCCAAATTTTCAAAGGTAGCCTCAAATTTTGATTGCCTTTTTTTTGGGTGCCTACACTTCAACATGCAAGATTAGGGTTCATGAAGTTAAGCGCTCAAAATTACAGACCTTTTTGAGAATGATGGCCCCAGAGCTTAATTTTTTGAGGTACTGACCACCTCCAACTTTATCTGAGGTCAATGGCAAGTACATAAGGTTCTAGGTGCTTAACGATAGCCAGGACAGCCAAAGACTGAGGTCACGTGTGAAAATTTGTCATCAAATCACTGAAACTATACTAAATCTTGAAGTTAAGGATGTTTTCCCACAAGGAACTATATAGTCTGTTTCTTCTCAGCACAGCTGTGTCTAAAACTTTCAACATGACTTCACTCACAGCTTTCCCTTTGCTATGGAGAAAGCTAAATTAGGAAATGTTTACGGGTCAAGATTTATTTATTTTTTTATTAAAAAGATAAAATTAAAATTGGTGCTGCCAAGATTCAAAACTTAACGAAAGCTGCATACATGCCAAATGTTAATACTTAAAACAGTCACAGCTTTCCCATTCTCTTTGTTTAGTGCTCCACTCCCAGAAGGACCTCTTTGAATAGTCACTTTTGTTTAAGCAAGAAAAAGAGTGAGAATTCAAAAACCTTTGATTTAGATTTTTTAATGACTTTTTATTAAAGAAAAGTTGATGTTTAAACGCAGCTCAGCTGTATGTGAAGTGCAGTTGGAAGTTGTGGGTAGAAGAACAGCCATGGACAAAAATATATATACATATATATTAATCACTGTAATAAAGAGAAGGCATCAAGTATCAGGGGGTAGCCGTGTTAGTCTGTATCTACAAAAACAACAAGGAGTCTGGTGGCACCTTAAAGACTAACAGATTTATTTGGGCATAAGCTTTCGTGAGTAAAAACCTCACTTCTTCGGATGCATCCGAAGAAGTGAGGTTTTTACTCACGAAAGCTTATGCCCAAATAAAAGAGAAGGCATGGTCATGTGATTAAAGCACAGCAGTGGAATCCCTAAGATGCTGGTTCAATTCCCAGCTCTACCACAAATTTTCTGTGTGATATTGGGCAAGTCACTTAATCTGTCTGTGCATGTGATAAAAAAGAAAGATAATAATAAGTCCTTTCTGATGTCCTGTGTACATATAGGACCTTGCATGTACCTCATTTGAGAGACTCTAATCATTACTTTAATACCAGTAATAATTTCTATTACCCTATTTATTAAATTGCCAGCCAATCAATACAGTTTTGCAGACTTGGCAGCAAAATCTATTTACCGGTCAGAAATGTAATAATACTAAATTATTTTTAGAGACATGATTTTTTTCTGGCCAATTGTTTTTCACCTAGAAATTTTCATAAAGGTAGAATTCAAATTCAAAGTCTGGCCTTATCATCAAGAAGCTCAAAGGTCTGGATCAAGGATACTCTGGGATGTGTATCATGCTTGACAGCTGTCCGTGGCTAGGGTAAATCTTATCTCTGAAGGAGACACTGCTTTCTCTGGGGCTGGTCCAGGGCTGTGCAAGAAACTCCTGCAGAATCTAACCACCACCTCAAATGTCATCACTTTCCATTCCAAGGGTGATTGCACTCCTTTGATCTAACCTTCACTAACAAACAAGCTAAAACCTCACATTATTTTCCCCTTGGAAAGAAAAGGGTAAGAAAAAAGGAGAAACATGACAAATGCTAGTTGCATCACTTAATACATTTCTGGAAAGTGCTCAGATAATGTGATGAGGATGGTATAAGAACTTGAGTAAAACTGAATAGAGGTAAATGCTTATGCAGTGTTGTTGTAGCTGTGTTGGTCCCAGGATATCAGAAAGACAAGGTAGGTGAGCTAATATTTTTTCTTGGACCAACTTCTTTTGGTGAGAAATATAAGCTTTCAAGCTTATACAGAGTTCTTCTTTCTCAGACCTAAAGAATAGTTCTGTGTAAGCTCGAAAGTTTGTCTCCCTCACCAACGGAATAAAAGATATTACCTCACCCACCTTGTTTCTCTTAAATGCTTATGTTAGCAAGTCCGGTGCTTCACCAGGATTTGGGGGGGGGCGGCATTTTGCCGCCCTCAGCGGCAATTCGGCGATGGGGGGGTCCTTCCGCGCTCCGGGTCTTCAGCGGCAATTCTGCGGCAGGTCCTCCACTCGCTCCGGGACCCGCCGCCGATGTGCCCCGAAGACCAGGAGCACAGAAAGACCCCCCCGCCGCTGAATTGCCGATGACAACCGGGAGCGCGGAAGGACCCCTGCCTAGGGCGCCAAAAACCCTGGTGCCGCTCCTGTATGTAAGTCAGCAGCATGAGGAAATACTCAAGGTGTTATTAGCAAATCCCTTCCCCTATGTCCTTCAGACTACTTTAAGTTTAAAATAGGAATGGAGAAATCTACAATTGCGGGATGGTGATAAGACACTAAATAACAGCTCTGAAATTTAATCCTACATCAATAACAAATCTGGATAGTGAAACATGTCACATAGATGGAGGAAAATAATATAATTTATTCCAACATTTCTTTTTTTATGAATTATGGCCTATATTTCAAAAGTGGTCACAGATTGTGGTTAGCCAAGTTAACTTGTAGACACCAAAAGACATTGATTAGTCTGGAAAATTTAGGCCTAAAAAGGTCAATAAAACTGCACTACAAATCCATAGTTTATATATGTACTTCAATGCAGCTTCTCTATATTGCTTAAACAGCAGCATACTAGTTATCTTAGAATAGGGGTAGTCAATTTCTTTTTGTCAAGGTCCAAATTTTCTTAGTCAAGGTATAATCAAGGTCCAGACTACAGAGAAACATTTTTACACCACAATAACAGTAATGATAATAATAAATAAATAAAAGCTTTCGAGGTCCATTCAAAAGCAGCTGGCAGTCTGGATTTGGCCTGCGGTCTGCCTATTGACTACCCAGTCTTAGAAATATGCAATGAAGTACTAACTTTGTACCGTTTTGTGATAATAGCTAAAGATAATACTGCATATACTGGGCTATGTCAAAATGACATTGGTAAAAATAAAAAAAATACATAAAAATAAATAAAAGTGTGAAATAATTTTTGAAGGTAAAGGACCTCTCTGAATCAGCATTTAGTATTAGAACCTAAGTGTTGGTAAATTATAATTGAATATCACTGGTCTTTTTACACTGTCTGTGAGCGAGCTGCACCTGTGGTTGGAGTAGATGACCTCAGAACAGCTGAGCAGTAGAGATGGTTGGGTCAGGAAATGGAATTTTCATTCTGTGGAACATTTCAACATTCTGACATCTTCTTTCATCCCAAATCAGAATGAAAGGTCAAAATTTACTATAAAATGAAATATGGAAAATATTGAATTTTGGAAATCTCAAAGTACCCTTGTAGAAATGTTTAGACTATCATTTCAATTAGTCTATGATATTGTAAACATAAGTCAATATGATAACATTGTGTTAATTTCCCATCAAAAATTTTTATGAAATCAATATATTCCTGTAAAATGTTTAGATTTAGTCAAATCAGCTGTTCAAATGGTCCACCGACTGAAGAGCCTGCTGCTCCAAAGAAAAGCCATGTGATAGGAGAAAGATTTCATAAACTAGCTGTGTGTGATTGTAGTGGGGCGGCTGCCCCACTCCCTGAATTTGGAGCTGCAGCAGGCCAGTGGGCCTGCACAGACAGGGAGCCAATCAGGGAAGGCCTTATAGGGAGCCAATCAGGGCCAGGCTCAGCCCTATAAGAAGGCTGCTCAGGACAGGAGCAGGCAGTCTGTCCCAGGCCTTCAACAGGGGAAAGTCTGTCTCCAGGCTGGGAGACTAGCACCCGGGACAGCGCAGAGGGTAACTCCAGCACGGAGTCTGTCAGGCTGCAGGCCCTGAAGGGAAGGGCCTAGCTGGTGCGAGGGGCAGAAGGGGAAGCGGCCCAGGAACGTGGACAGACGGAGGGAGAGAAGGAGGGCAGGACGGCTGCCACTAGAGGGTCCCTGGGTTGGGACCCAGAGTAGTGGGCGGGCCTGGGTCCCCCCCTTTCCCCCTTGCCTTGTACCTGGCAAAGAGAGGTGTATGAAAGACTCCCCTGCACCAGCCATGCCCACTGCACCAAAGGGGAATTTGCCCTTTTTGGAGGGCAGGCAGTTCAACAGTCTGGTATGTATATAGCTCATAAGGAAGTACCCCCAAAAAATTGTGTGTGTCCACTCTAGGCCTGATCCAAAGCCTAATGAAGTCAGTAGAAGAACTTCACTGGACTTTGGATCAGGCCTTAGAGTCACAAGCAGAGAAAAATTAGTCATGTTCCAAACAAACGAAAAAGAGAGACTCTTGCAATGAGAGCTGGTTGGAAAATTCCCCTCAAAAATTTGTTGGCAGACAAAAGCCTTTTTTTTTTTTTAACACAAAAGTTTTATGGAAAATGTTGTTTCTTTCAAAAATTTTGTGGTTTTTTTCCCCATGAAAAACCAGAAGACAAAAAAAATTAACTTTTCAGTATTTTCCCTCCTTTTTACTCCCTTTTTCCTTTGTAGATATCATTTACCAGAAACCAGGGTTCTGGGTGGGGGGTGGGGAGAGGGAAAGAGGACAGATGAGGGAGAAACAAAACAAAGAATAAAAAATACTGAGTTTTCATCAAAAAACAAAAATAAATACACTTTAAAAAATTACAGTGATTTTGAAAAAAAAAAGTTTTTTTTTTTCTTCAAATTTTCCTATAAAAAACAATGACATTTTTGTTCGATTCTATTTGCAACAAAACCTATTTCACTGCCTGTTTTTAAACAGTGAGAAACAGTCATAATATTGGTAGGTTGGGTGCCATCATGACATTACCTGACTTACTTTACCACTAACAGTATTTTAAAAACTGATCTCCAAGTGATTAATACCTATAAAAGGATTCAAGTTAAATTAATTCTGAACTGATATTAAACACTAATCTCTTTAAAAGACATAGTAGATCCCCAGCTCCCCAGCTCATGTGAATTGAAATAGCTCCCCTAAATTTAACACAGTTGTTTAGACCATCTAATAATCTGGCTCAAAATGTTTAATAAATGAATGTTATGTACCCCACCTTCAAATACACAAACACATTGCCACTGTGAGTCATGTTTCTCTTTTAAATATAATCCCACTCTTTTTTTTCTGTCTGGCTCTTATCTGCACTTGTTTCGTTTTCTTCTGTTACGGGACCTTGGGGTTCATTGTAGTTTTCCATCATTCTTTCTGAATTCATCTCCTGTTTTTTGTTTTGCTTTTCTTTCTTTCTGAATCAATCTTTCTTTATCCCTGGCTTTTCTATGTGAGTTTTAATGTCTCCATCACTTGTCTGATTCCTGCAGTCTATTTTTCATAATCTGTTTCAGTGTCATCCTCATACCCCCTTGGTTTTTTTTTCTTAACACCTACTTTTTTTTTCTTAACACCCTCCCTTTCTGTGGCTGTCTCTTTTCCTTCTCTATTCTTTCTTTCCTAGCTACAGTAGTGGCAGCTAAACCAATCATACCAGCCTTTCACAATGCAAATGTTGTCCGACAAGGCCATAGTCTGGAACACATGAATTCAGCATCTTTTCAGGAAATCTGGACTAGTTTCAGCTGTCATTCTGCATATCCATCACACGTGAGTCATCTCTGCATGCTTATTTCTCTATACGTCCACCCAGGAGAAAAACCTCTCACTGATTAAAGTGAATGACAGGATATGACAGGACAATGAGTGGGGCAAGTCTAGACCATCATCATGGGGGTTGGAAAGAGAAAACAGGTAAGAGGGGTGTATATATAAATAGGCCCAGATAGGAGAATACATCAGATCCTCCATGTAATTTCCCCAATCCCTGCTCCTGGGGTAAACTTCTGCCTTCATTAAAGTGTGTGGGAGTTTTGCCATTGAATTTAATAGAGCCAGGACTGTATCCCTGGTATCTTTCCTTTATAGGTATTGATATGCCCCCCTTCCCGTTATGTCTAGCACTCCGCAATCTTCATAGTATTTATCCTGGCAACATCCCTGTGAGATAGGGAAGTACTATTGTCCCCATTTTACAGATAGGGACTGGCAGCATAGAGAGACTTAGTGACCTGCTCACAGTCACACAGGAAATCTGTGTCTGAGCTGGAAGTTGAATAGATGTCTCCCAAATCCAAGGCTAGTGTCCTGATAACTTGATCAACCAGCCTTTGCCTCTCTAGTGGGGATCCCTCCCTTTTCCTTCTTCCCCTAAAGGTTCCCAATTCCTTATGCTCCATGCACTATGAATCTGTGCTGAATGATGATAATAGGGGTGTGTTTGATCTAGCATGACACATACAGGAAAATTAGAAAATACTTCTGCCTGCATCGTGTAAGTGCCCTTATCCTCCAAGAGGTTTCCTCTAAAATAGGAATGGCTTCTCATGAGCATTGCTTCCAGAGCCTTACAATACTTAATAGCCCATTATCACATATTCATTATATACTGTACTGTATTGTGGATATATGCTATTTGTCTGTGGTATGTCAGTGATACTTAAACTATGGCTGTGGAGCCACAGGTATCTCTTTTGGACCCCACAGGCAGGTCTTTGGCAAAGGTGCAATATTTGACACTGTCATGTTTTCCAGGTGATATTGCATAAATTGTGATGCGTGAGTCTCTCTAGTTCAACAGCACGCCATGAGTGTAACTCAGTGTCAGGATGACACACCACAATGATACTGTCATGCTCTTCCACCCCATTTGAAAGCTAAGGGGACATGTACACTGCAATCAGAAGTGTGGTTGCTGCCTGTGAAGACATACCCAAGCTAGCTTTGATCTAGGTCGCTGTAATAATGATAGTCGTAAAGCCCCAGCAGCATGCATGGCAACTGTCCTGGGATCCTGGGTATGTTCTTGAGCAGCTAGTCAACTTAAAATGCCTCAGCTTCACTGCTATTGTTATTCAAGCCAGCTAGATCAAATCTATGTCTACATGTGCTGTAGTCACAGCTTTGATTGCAGTGTAGACATATCTTAAGGGCATGTCTATGCGACAAACTTTTGCCGACGCAAGTTCCAATGGCATAAAACCATCGCAGCTGGTATATGGCTTGTGGGTATGCATATTGTCTCCGTGTGTCAGCGCTGCGCGTACTCACCATGGTGCAATGTGGATAAGTATCCCAGTGTATAACTTACCACCATCTAGCACACTGTCTTTTGGGAAGTTTTGGCAATGCATGGTGGGGCAGGAACAAGTCACACAGGGATGACTGGGAGTAAGGGGTCAACTTCCTAGCATGCAACTTTGTACATCCCATAATGCCATTTTTGCACCATTTTTAAAAATCCCACATACTTGCGTGGCCCTCCTCCCTGTCTGCCATCTTTGACAGAAGCCTGCATAGCTCTGCACTGGTGTTTTGAGCATTGCAAGCACAGGATGCACAATCCTGCAGTATTTGCAGAGCTGCACAAAGAACCAAACCTGGGAGAAACATGATGATTTATTGGAGGACAGTTTGCTGCGGGACATAGCAAGATCCAATTCAAGGTTGTTAGTGGTGTGCACTAAGCAGCTGCAGACGGTGGAGAGCTTCTTCTGGGCCTGAGAAATGGGCATTGACTTGTGGGATTGCATCGTCATGCAGGTTTGGGATGATGAGCAGTGGCTTCAGAACTTTTGGATGTGTAAGGCTGCGTTCCTGGATCAGTGTGCCAAGCTTGCCCCAGCCGTCCAGCACAAGGACACCGGAATGAGAGCTGCACTGACAGTGGAGAAGCGAGTGGAAATCACACTGTGCAAGTCTGCAACATTGGATTGATACCAGTCTGTGGGGAAATCACTTTGGCATTCAAAAATCCACGGTGGGGCCACTGTCATATAAATGTGCAGCGCCATTAATCGTCTTTTGCTATGAAGGACTGTGACTGTCGGCAATGTGCACACAGTACATCAACAGAAAGGGCTACTTTTCCATGGTTATGTGAGCATTGGTGGATCACCGGGAACACTTCACCAACATCAATCTTGGCTTGTCAGGGAAGGTGCACAATGCTTGCATCTTTAAATACACAGGACTGCTCACAAAGCTACAAGCAGGGACTTTCTTTCCCAACTGGTGGATTACCATTGGCGATGTTGAAATGTCAGTAGTGATTCTGGGGGACCCAGCCTACCTCTTGCTTTCCTGAGCCATGAAGCCGTACACTGGCCACCTCAACAGCACCAAAGAGAGATTCAGCTACCGACTCAGCAGGTGCAGAATGAGTGTTGAATGTGTTTTCGGTAGATTGAAGGGATGCTGGTGTTGTTTACTTACAAGATTGGATGTCAGCAAGAAAAAGCATCCCAACAGTTATATCTGTCTGCTGTGTCTTGCATAGTATCTCTGATGCAAATGGGGAAAAGTGGCCACCAGGGTGGAGGTTGGATATAGAGCAGCTGTCTGCTGGGTTTGAGCAGCCAGACACAAGAGCTATCAGAAGAGCTCAACACAGAGTTATATGGCTCAGGGAGGCTATGAAAAAGCACTTTAACAGTGAGCCACCTTAATGCATTGTGGTGTCCTGTGCTCTACCTGGCCCTGCTATTTTGGGGCCTGTTAGGTATTGTATGGTGCTTGATGTACATGAATGAATATAACACTGTCAATGCACCTATTAATTTTGTGGTGCTTGCTATACATTTATGATCATGACGCTGTGTTTTTTCCACTGATCCTGTGAGCTGTGTCACGCCATATAATAACAAGTAAGTGGGTGTTTTCAGTACCGCTAGACATTCTGCAGCATATGTTGGGAACTAATAAAGATTTTCCAAACAATAGAATTTTCTTGAGTAACAAAAACACTGCAAAAAAAATTCTTTGCAAGTTAAGAGCAAATATGTTAAACACTTAAATTTTATGGAACAGAGCTTAAGAAGCGGAAGGTACATTCATGTCCATTTTAACTACACATACGGCAACTGTGGCTCTGACAGATCAGTGTATGTGAACGGCAACTGTGGCTCTGACACAGTGGTGGGGAAACTGCAGACCGTGGGCTGCAGATTGCTCACCACTGCTCTGACAGATAAGTGTATGTGAAGTGGTGGTTGGCCTTACTGTCCCCTGTGTGGAGTGGTAGGGGTAGGGATGCAGACACTTATGCCACGTGCAAGGGTGATGGCAGTGAAGGAAGGTGCTATACTGGGGTTCTCCATAGACCGCAAAGGAAGGCAAGAATGTGACTGTTGAAACTGAAGGTCCACAAGCGTCTGAAGCATGTGTGTTTGCTGCCAGAGAAGCCCCATTATGTCCTGGTGCATCTTCCTCTCCTTTTCCTGCGGGGACTCCTGGGCCTGTCTTCTGTCTGCTCTTTCCTTGTCCTCCTTATCTAGATCAGGTGTTCCACAGGTAAGGAGGGGAATGCCTGAAGGCCACAATGGCAGCAGCTACAGATAAAACACACAGAGGTACCGCTGTCAGTGTAGTCACAACGGAAAGTGAAAGTTAAGATTCAGAACTCCCTTCCCTTGCTCCCCTAAAGTTTTAAACAAGATGTACTTATTGACACGTCTGCTTCAGAGTGCTTGTGCACAGCACCACTCACAGCACCAGCCACGGTGCGCATGGCCTGCTGGGGTGAGGGAAATGAAGAGGGAATTGCTCAGTTATGTGAAACTATGAGTATAGGGCATTGAATATCGGCACCCATTTCCAAGGTGGTGGTGATTTTAGCTGATATCTCACTCCTGAGGGTAATAAAGAGACAGAAAGCACAGCTACTGCTGGTGTCCCGAAGCAGCTCGAGCCCATATTCCACTAGTCTGTTTATTGAAAAGGTGCCTGCTGAAGATATCTGGTATGGGAAAGTGTCCTACCACAGAGAAATAAATAAGGCTGCCATCCCTGGAAAGCTTTGAGAGAGGATGGCAGAGTGCCTCCATGAAAGTTTGATCAAGATTTCTCAGGTGCATTCAAGGGCTATCCCTGTGTACATAAGCAAATTGCTGAGACTGTCCCCCATCCGAACTCCCCCAGCCTAACTCTAGAGGGGAATGAAAAGCAGATAACTCTACCTCTCTTTGTTGTGCTGCTACTTTTTCTAGTGTGAGTACATTAATGAAAAGCTGATAGCTGTGTCCTGTTAAGTTGGGAGCTCCATCAGTACATCACTGTAATGGGAAATACATTTACACACTTACCCGAGGTTCCTTCCCCTGTATCAGGCTCGCCCAGGCTCGACTGCTGGGACTGAATGGACTGTGGTGGAGTCTCAAGCAGCTCCTGGCTCGCAGCATAGCTGAACCCCCTGATCGATGTCCCCCATCTTCCTCCTCTTCCTCCTCGCTGTTCACAGCAGGGGCCTGTGACTTGGGTTCCTCAGAGGGATCCATAGTTGTCTGCAGTGTGGTGGTGGGGTTTCCACCAATTATGGCATGCAGCCATTTGTAAAAAAGGCAGATCTGTGGCTCAGCACCAGATCAACTGTTGGCCTCCCTGGGACATGCCTGCCACAGTGCCTTTGCTCGCAGCAGCAGCACTGCTGCTGATCCCTGTCGTATCACTTCTCCTGCATTCACAAGCAACCTGCTCACAGATGTCCATGTTTCTACAGCAGGTCTGTAGCTGTGAATGCACAGCCTTTTCTCCCCACCGGCCCAGGAGACCCAGGCTGGAGAGTGTGGCCAGCATAGTCACCTGGGCAGTTACACACAACAGTGGAAATGGAATAGTGGAGAATGGATAGCTGGGCAATCAGGAAAAGGCATTTCAAAAATTCCCAGGGTTTTAAAATGTGTGTGTGTGTGTGGTGGGGGGGAAGGAGCTTCCTTCCTCTGTGATCTCTGAGCAGTGGAGTTCAGATCGTTGACAAGAGCCATCAGTGCTTGGCATTTTGAGACAGCTGCTGGAGGACTGTTGGGGACAATACAGTAATGCAATGTCTACACTCATGCTGCCTTGACCTCAGTACATCGACCATGGCTCAATGCTGCTTGGTGAGGTGGTGTTACTGTGTTCCTCTAACGGGGCACTTACATCAGTGGGAGACAAATTTAAGTGTAGCCACATGAGCAATTAGGTCAACACAAGGCAGCTTATGTCAACCTAACTGTGTAGTGTGGCCCAGGCCTACATGACTTTCCAGCTCTGCAAGGCTAAAAACCATCTATTTAGAAAGGGATGGGAAGAGACTGAGTAATAACCAGGATGGTCAAGTAACAGAGAGGTAGCCGTGTTAGTCTGAATCTGTAAAAAGCAACAGAGGGTCCTGTGGCACCTTTAAGACTAACAGAAGTATTGGAGCATAAGCTTTCGTGGGTGAATGCCCACTTCATCAGACGCAAGACCAGGATGGTGTATTCCTTACCCCTATGGTTCCAAAACTTTCGGGTTTCCTTCTAATCTTTTTCTTGCACAGATGTCTCCATGTCCATTTGATCAGATACCAGAGAGACTTGGGGCTTGGTAAAACATTGAAGGGAGTGGGCAGAGTCCCTCCTTCTTCAAAGTAACTCATCCAAAGCTTTGTTCGAGCAAACTTCCATTCGATGTCTGCATGATCCTGTATACAAGAAACATAACAACTGACAAACTGCTAAATTAACAAGGTGAAAAAAAACTTACAGGGGCCCTATAAGCTAAACATATCCTGAAGTGCTAATTAAATGGCTTATAAAAAACATAGCTGTCTTTGGGATAGAAATTATAATGCAGCAATTGACTTGTTTTACCCAGTAAGAGAGAGTCTGGATATTATGTCACATTTAATCTTTCTTGCATTGCTAACAGATATTTAAAATAATTAAATACCTCTAAGGCAGCAAAGGAAAATTACAAATAGACAAAATACTAACTGTCTAGCAGTGGTCTTTTGCTATGGTACCATATCATCATAACAACAGGCATTCTACATAGAGCAATTCACTTTCTTTCTGACATATTAGTCTGAGCAATGCTGTGGGACCTGGGAAATGTGGTCAAAATGTGGGTCCCATTTTGTGGAGGCGCTGTTAATTGGCAACCTCAAAAATTCAAACATCATGAGTGAGGTTTCCCCAAAATCATGAGTTTAAAAATATTGTATTCTTTTAATTTGTTTTCTGGTTTTTAAGTCTTTTGGGTACTCTCAGATGGTACTTTGAGCTTTTCCCTGCAACCATAGGGGGTGGAAATTATATATTTTTTAAATGAAAGTTGAGATTCTCACCTTATCATATGCCTCCAGGAGCTGGGTATTTAAATAAACATCAAATAAAGTGAGAGTTGCAATCAAATAGTGAGAATTGGCAACACTAGTTGCTCTCCTGTTTTCAGGACAGTGCTGTACAGAGCTGTGGGTTTGTTACCATATAGGTAGATGTGGACAGAAAACAATTTTCTTGTCCCAGGAAAAATTTTGAGATTACATTTTTCCGCATTCCACATCAAGATAAAACAGATTCTTATCCAAATTTTTCAGGGCGAGAAAAGAAAAGAAATTGCTTTCCTTCAAATACCCATTATCCTAGTGATCAGGGGAACTCACCTAGCATAGGGGAGGTCCAGGTTCAAGTTTCTGTTTAGATCATAGATTATAATAGACAACTTTAAAAACGTCAAAATTGAAACAAAATGATTCTTTCAAAATTTTCTTTCACAGAGAATTTCAAGAATTTCTGATTGCATTCCTAATCAGATCAAAAACAAATCCTGAAATCCTTCACGAAGTGGCATTTATATTCTCCACACAGTTCTAGTCATGACTGCATCTGTCAAAGATCTATCTATTTAGTGAGTTTTAAGATATATATAAAAAAAATAACCCCAAAGTTTTGATTAGAATAAAGATACAGTTTTCATGAAATGAGAAAACAGGAACAATTAAGGAAATGTCCGATGCCTCTACTGCCGCTTGCTTACATGTCATCAAATCAAATACCACATCTTTGCATTCACTGTTAGTAGGAGAGTCTGTGCAATTTGTAAAGCCACCACTTTGTGAAACTACACCAGTTTCAGTTACTGCACTCTCTCCTGCAAGGGATTAGCACTTGCATAAAGTCTTAGAGAACTGAAGGTGGGGAAGTAAATATTTTAAACTCTCTAGGTGTGATGGTCTAAAGACGCACCAGATCCTGCTATCCCTACTTAAGCAAATCTCTCTTTAATGTGAATGGGTGCTTTTCTTGAGCAAGGAATGAAGGATCATTCCTACATCTATGTTTATGTTTGTAGGCTGACATTTTCAAAGTTGCCTAAGGAATCTGGACAACCAGTTCCCATATGCTCTGTAAGAATCACTGGATATTTATGGTACTAACCATTGATTTGGCTTGAAGTTTGGAAAATAGCTTTTTAAAGCTTAATCAATCTTGAGTGTAAAATAGAAAATATGCAATCAGCCTGTTGCAGATTCCTGATTCTCAGAGCAGATCTGGGCTAGAACAGCCTGCTCTAACCTATGCCAGTTGACAGAAACCTTGATACACCCTGCCCCTCCCACAACACAACTGCTGTGTGAGGAGCAGCTTTGCACCATTCAGAGTTCGGGGAGAATTCTCATCTGGCCAAATCCAGCAGTTTTCTTGTCTGTTTGTGCTTGAAGGGCAATGCAAAGGAACTAGAAGACATCAGAGAATGTGTCCCCGTATTCTATATTTAAATTGGATTTAATGCTGGAAAAAGCGGATGTGGAAACTGTGAGAAAATACTCATTGCAAGTGATTTAATAAGGAGAAATAACTTACAGCAATGAGCTGGTAAGAGTTATTCATCATGGCTATTAACATGTTGAGTAGAACAACCAGCGAGATGACATTATAGGTTCCAAACATGGTGGCCCCAACAAACTCAGTAAACTCATGTCGTGCCTGTACATTGGTCACGTACAGATTGATGAGACCAAATATAGACCAGAATAATGACTGTAGTGTTTCAAATAGTCTGAAAAATAAATAGATAATAATATACAAATATGCAAATATACATATATATCCAAATCTTTCCCTACATGCACAGTCAAAAAGCCCTTTGTGATAGCAGAGGACAGAATTTTCCCCAATATAAACAAAAGTATGTAATTTTCCAGGGAAATTTTGGTAAACTCTCCAAACTTGAGTCCTTAAAGCCAGGCATCTAAATACATAGATAGGCCCTTAAGTAAGTGGCTGATTCTATTCAAATCACTGCTCAGCATCTCTGAAAATCAGGCCAGTTATTTAAATATAGGTACCTACACTTGAACATTTTTGGCCCACATGCCTAAAGTTGATCCCATTGAAGTCAATGAGAGTGTGGTCTTGACATCAGTGGGCCAGAATTAGACCTCTAAATTAATTTGGTGTCTGAATTTCAGCAGTGGGTGTGCCATATGAAAGAAGCAGCAGCAGTGGGTTAAAATGATTTGTTTGTATCAGTAAACAGTTTGTATATTCAATTGGTAGTGTGCTTTGAGTCTTCTAGATAAAAGGAGCTGTAGAATTATAGGGGCATTCCCAGGCATACATTTTGTTTAGTAAAGAGCTCAGAAATTCAAAGATAAAGCAGACAATCACAAAATGACATTATAAATAAATATATCCTAACTCCTAGAACTGGAAAGGACCTTGAAAGGTCATTGAGTCCAGCCCCCTGCCTTCACTATCAGGACCAAGTACTGATTTTGCCCCAGATCCCTAAGTGGTCCCCCTCAAGAATTGAACTCATAACCCTGGCTTTAGTAGGCCAATGCTCAAACCACTGAGCTATCCCTCCCCTCCACCCATTGTGCTTCTACAGTTAAATTATATAATATCCCTTTAGAGATATGGCTAGGACAGCAGCTAGGATGTCAAATAACAAGGTGCCATCTTTGAAACAGATCCTTAGGAGCTAAACAGTTTGAAAGAATATCACTTCTTTGTAACACAAAGCTGTGCTAATAAACTACAAATTATTATTTTGAGCCCTGATCAGCCCTTTGCTCCTGGGCAGTGTGGAGCAAGGCTTTACACTATGTCTATGCAAGTCCTAGGGCCTGATTCTCCTCTCTTTTATACCAGTGCAAGTCAGGAGTAACTAAACTGGACTCTGGAGTTACAGATGTGTAAATCTGGTGCAAGTAAGTGGAGAATTGCGCCCAGGGTGCCTCCAAGAAGTGGCTGTGCAGCATGTCTTTCTGCAGTTCTTGGACAGGCATAGACACAATGCACCACTAAACTCCCCTGCTGGCAATTTCTCATGCACTGAAGAAGCAGGAGCCACCACAACCTGCCTAGACAGCCTCTTTTATGGCCATAACCACTGCCAGCACCCTTCTTCAGATCCCCAGCGAAGACAGCCAAATTATCATTGCCTCCCTCAACATCACCCTGGTGGAGAAGTGGCTCTTGGTACAATTTAAATGCAGGTGAGTAGCTAAATATGACTTATAGAACTCAGCTGTAACAGCTGTTTGTATCAGAAGTCTGATTCAGTGTGGAAGGTGAAAGTTCAAGTAGAGAATTAAAATTCATTTAATACAGATTGGGCACTAACCTTGTCACTTGATATAGCTAAAGAAATAAAATCACTGACTTTCAAAGTGAAGGAAAATAAATAAACTGAAACTCATTATTATTTAGCCTTTAAGACAAAAGTAAGAATGTAGAGATTGAACATTTACAAGAAATTCAATTGAAGGTGGCCTTGCATTCAGGCTCCCTGGCAGCTTGGACTGAATTTTTTTCCTTGTCCTGCTTCAGTGGAACCTTGTTTGTGTGTGGATAAATTGGATGTACAATCTTGAAGTTTTTGAAAACTGAAGTTGTTCAGAAGATAACACTTTAATCTTAACAAACAGACATAGAAGAAAACCACAGAAACATTTGTCTGTAGAAGCAAACTCTTAGCAGGTTAAATTTATTTGTTTGGAGCCAGATCAGTATTTTATTGCCAAAATCACACAATCATCTCATTTTTCTCATTTTAGCTCATACCGTTTTAAGTTACTTCTGTGGACGTCTTTCTAGCATAGACCATACGTTATCATAGATTGCTGTATTTATTATTAATTATTATTTTTAATAATAATAATTTGTATTGTATGACCTAGAGACAGTCATGGACCAGGACGCCACTGTGCTAGATGCTGTACAAATGCTGAACGAAAAAGACGTCTCTGCCCCAAAGAGCTTACAGTCTGAGTCAGTCTAAGTAGAGCTTACAGTCTGACTCAGTAAAATATTGCACATATCAAATGAAAAGTAGAGATGCCACTTACGTTGAAAATGCATTATTTTGCTTTTCACACCGTATTCCTTTGCAGCTGTCGGGTTCATTTGTTTCATAATAGAAGTACAACTGGTTCAATCCATTTGCAAAAGCTAGCAGCACGAGACAGTATATGAATAGAAACTTTAAAATGTCCAGTAACATTCTTCCTAGAGATATTTGCAGAGGTCCAAGGTGAGAATTTGCAGTAAATAATGAGATCAAGCGCAGGGAACTAAAGATGTTCGCAATAGCAAACAATGCCTCAGCCACCAATGTGGGGTGCCACATATCCCATTTTTGACGCGCGAGTAAGCCGCTATACTGGAAAAAAAAAGAGAGTTATACTTTTGTTTTCATACAGAAATCCAAGTTGTTCAGTTTCTTTGCTGAGCCATTCTGTTCAGGCATGAATAACACAAAAAATAGCCCTTTTTGGTATGGACTATGTTTGGTTTGTCTTTTCAAAGGAGTTCATAATCTTAATATTAGAACATATATGGCTTGTGTGTTTGTCCTTATCCAGACCTTTATCTGAAGGATAATTTATACTCGCCTTTTTTTATTTTGTTATGATTTTGTTTCAGTGAAAGGATTACAAGTCTGGTCTTTTTGTAACTGTCTGTGACAGACAGTAGAAAAGCAGTACACACTGTAATTGTATTTAGCAAATTTATGAAGGTCTGGCTCTCCTGAAATATGGAAAGTAGGTGCTGGATCCCGCAAAGTCAATGAAATTACTCAAATGAATAAGGACTCCATATATAAGCATTTGATAGATCAAGGTTTGGATAATCATTGAAAAGTTGCTATACAGTAGATAAAGAATAAGAATATCATTTAATCTCTAATATTAAAACAATGACAATATCTATTTGTTCTCCCTTTGAGACATGCCTAATTGTTTACTTACCTCATTTTCAGTCAGTCTGATCCGTGTAATCATGAACCTTTAACAGTCCAGGCCTACCAATAGGTTCCATGAAGTTGAAATGCATTTTAAAATAAAACCTTTCTAAATACTCTTCCGTAATTTTTATTGATTATCTATTGAGTACCTTTAATATGCTCTGTGCTGTACAGAACATATCAAAAGACACAGGGCTAAATTCACAAAAGGACTTATGCACCTAACTACCACTTTAGGAACCTACATCCCAGAATAAGGCCCAGTGGGATTCACGAAACCTCTGTTCAGCTGCTCCCAAACACAGTAGGCATCTAAATTCACTTGGTATCTACATTTTTTCAGTAAAATCTTATGTTTCTGCCTCTGTGCATGCACACTGCTACCTCACACCAGGTGTCTAGACTTCTTAGCCCCAAAGCAATGCATGAACCAGGGGAAGAAAGGCATTGGAACTGTGGGGCCTGATCTGGTAAGCATGCTCAGAGCTTGCCTATGGCAGTCTGATCCGGTAGGTGAGATGACGCAAAATAGCCAGTGGGGGAAAGAGGACCTCCCTCAGAACTTTTACCTCAGTGTACACAACTGGGATGTGGGAGCTAACCAACTCAAGTTGCAACTCCAACTGAGAGGGAGAAGTGAGATGAACTGGAGTTTGCTATCTCTCAGCTATATGCCCTAACCACTGACTATGGGAGAGCCTGAGGTGAGACTTCCTCAGTCTCTCCTGTTAAAGCTGTTCCATGCGGATAAATAATGAAAGAGTCACTGGGTCACAGAGAGAGAAAGAACAAGCAAGCATGTAAATAATTCTGTAGCCTCATGCTGAATGCATTCACTTGGGGGAGGTGGGAGATCCAGTATCCATTGTCCAATGACTTTTTTTAACCCTCATCTATATTCGTGGGGTAAAGTTGTATCCCACAAGCATATATGTTGTGATAACTCATGAACTGGTGGCCCTCCAGCTATGATGTTTTAGGACATTTTCACCTAGGCGTATGTACACAATTCAGTTTTCAGGGTAGCAGCCGTGTTAGTCTGTATCCTCAAAAAGAACAGGAGTACTTGTGGCACCTTAGAGACTAACAAATTTATTATTGTCACAATTCAGTGACATTTTTTTAAATTAAGCATAAAAAACATTTGCCTGTATCAAAAATGTATGTAAGGTACAAATGTATTCCTCTATTATTTTGTCCCTTGGTTACAGTGACATATTTACCACAGTCAGCTGACCAGAAGAGCCACAAGCAATGTGGAGAATGCAGTGAATTTGTATGTGATGACTACTCCACATTGATCCTCATGTGAAAATGGCGTATAGGCTCACACTGAAGAGACTCTTGCTAGTTCTTTCAATTTGCTAGTTAAATAAAGTTTTTTTGTCTCAAACAAAGAATTGTTCTTAATTTCTGAATGCACTGCGGGGACAACAATCCCCCACAACACAGTTAATGTAACTTTTTCATGACAATGGATTTTAAATAAAAACATTTGTCCTAAAACATTAATGACGTAGGCACAGTGGAACAGCTTCAACAGTCGAGAGCGCTACATCAGCCCAGTAGTGATGGCACACACCTGAAAGGTGGCAGAACCAGGTCAAAAGCTTTTCCCTCCGTTCTCTATGGAAATGGATACTTGAATCAGGAGCCTCCCACAGCCAAGGTGTGTACCCTAATCACTGGGCTAAAAGTGATTCCCCCCCTCACACTTCTTGCAAAAACCACATAGGTGCCCACCACCAAGAGAGGGTTTGCCATGGAGAATCCCAAGCAGAGGGAGATGCCTCCCTCCAGCCTGACTTAGGTGCCAAACTTCCGGGGGGAGGGAGGGGGCGGCTTAGGACACATCCCTCTCTTCCACATATCCATTGACTAGATTAAGAGAGGAGATGCCTAGTGTGCTGACTTTTGTGAATCCCACTCTGAGGCACCTCTCTCTCCCTATTCATTGTATAAACAGACTAGTTGTCAGATGTAGGCTTTGTGAATTCCAGTGATTTTCTAGGTGCCTAAAAGGTGTGGCAATGTGAAGCTAGACCATAATCCCTGTTGAAGTGCTTACAGGGATAATAATACTTCCCTATCTCACAGGGATGTTGTAAGGATAAATACTTTAAAGGTCATAGAGTGTTTTGAGATTAACTGATGAAAAGTGCAAAATAAGAAATAGGTAGTATTAGTATTATTACTACTACTACTAAAGTCTAAATCAAACAGACACAAGCTACATTTGTTCTCTCTACATCCCTTGGTGCTTATATGGCCCTCAATACAGCAGCACCTGAGCACCAATCATTAATGAATTCACCTCTTGGCGGTAGGGAAGTACTATTATCCGCATTTTACTGATACACAGGAGAGAAAAAGTGACTTAGCCAGAGTCACACAGAAAGTCTATGACTGAGCTGTGAAGGGACTCAGCCCTAGCCACAAAACCATTTCCTTACTCTAGTGACCTTCCTCATAAAATCAAGCTTTTATTACCGCTGGCATGGTAGAACCAATACAGCTATGCAAGAACAGGACACATGTTATTCTGCCTCATGCATCATTAACCAAATCATCAGTTCAGTTCTGATTGTAGAATCCTTATTACTCGGGATGACATAAGTGGCAGAAAGAGCACAACTTGTGTTGCAGAGTGATGGCTGAGTTTGCAATGCTAGCAGTCAGAAAAAAAAATTGACTTGCCAACTGAGAACATTGAATATGGAAGTTACTGACAGAATAAAGGTGCAACTCCTCAATATCCTTTTCACAGTGACTTTTCTGAATATTATTATTATATACTATAATTTAGACATCACTGTAAATGTACATGGCACTTTTATAAAGATATAATGAGAAACTGCCCATGTACTGAAGAGCTGACATACTCTGATTGAGCATTTGTAGGTGGAGAAAGAGGGAGAGGAGAACAGGACACCTGCCAAGTGCAGGGGATATCATAAATGAAGGCATGTAGCTAAGAAGATTGAGATAGTGAGAAGAGTGGATTGGAAGGAGGTTAGAGAGTAGAAAAGTAGTGAACAAAGATGTCATTAGGGAGAGGAGGTTGTACTGACTTGAAGGGGATGACTAAGAACTTGAATATGCTAACAGACCAGAAGTCATTGAAAGGATTCACAAGAGCTATAATGGGGCCAGGGAAGTAGGAGAGGAAGATTAACTACAAAGATTTGGATAGATTGGATGGTGGAGAGTTGAGGACAAGGGTGAGCAGAGAAGAGAACTGAAGGAAGATATGACCGATATATGGATAAATATTTTAGTAGGGGAGTGTGACGTTATTGATATAATCTGGGACCATATAGATCATTGTTGCAATCAAGGTCCTGTAGTGGCATGCAAATCTTGTATAAAGGGGGTCAAATGGGGTGTCTAAGACAAGGTTATGGTTTACTGGTTATGATTATGCTGTCTATATGTGTGTATCAATTTTGTAGTTG